GTCCATGCCATTTTCATGAATTCGGGCGATGGGCTCCGAATCGTCTAATATTTTGTGGTTCATCACTTTGTCATGAATATTCCTCATTGTTTTGGCATTTTCGGACCATAAAAATGAATTCTTGATGATTTCCAATTTTTCGTGTGCTCCACAAATCTTCATGAATTCTGGTGACGGGCTCTGAATCGCCTAAAATTTTGATGGCCCATAAGAAATAACCTATTGAACAATAGTAATCGCTTCGCCAAGATTGTTCCTAGTTGTTTTGGTATTTTAGGGTAATAAAACAGGAACTCAAGATGATTTCTAATTTTTGTGTGCTAATGTCTACAAAATCTTCAAGAATCTGGGTGACGAGTTCCGAAAGGCCTAATATTTTGTGGGCTCATAAAAAATGACCTAATGAACAATAGTCATCGATTTTTCATGATCCTCATATTTCGTATTTTAGGGCCATAAAACAGGAATCCATCACGATTTTCTATTCTACATATGCTAATGTCCACGGCATCTTCATGAATTCAAGCGACGGGTTCTGAATCGCCTAAAATTTTGTGGGGCTATAAAAAATGACCTAATAAAAAATAGTCATCTCTTCTCCATGACTTTTCCTCATTCTTTGGCGTATTAAGGCTATAAAAAAGGAATCCATAACGATTTCCAATTTTTCTTGTGACAATATTTACGCCACCTTCATGAATTCCGTTGAAGGGCTCCAAATCGCTCCCATTAGAAACAATCTAATGAACAATAGTCATGCTTCGCCACAAAAAAAATTAAAATAATTTTCAATTTTTCGTGTGCTAGTGTCCATACCATTTTCATGAATTTGGGTGACGAGCTCCGCATCGCCTAACATTTTGTGGGCATATCAAAAATGATATATTGAACAATAATAATTGATTCGCCATGAACGTTTCTCATTTTTTGGCATTTTAGTGCCATAAAATAGTAATTTAAAATTTGGAAGCATTATCTCTACTGTGTATCTTGTGAGGTATTTACGGATCATCAGAGTCTCCAGAACTTGTGCAAACAAAAGGATCTAAATTTGAGTTAGCGGAGATGGTTGGATCTACTAAAGGACTATGATATTAATATTTTGTATCATCTCAGAAAGGCCAATGTGGTCGTTGATGCCTTGAGTAGAAAGGAAGTTAGTAAGGGTAGCCTTGCATTTATTCCGGTAGGTAAGAGACCGCTTGCATCAGATGTTCAGGCCTTGGCCAATCAGTTTGTGAGGTTGGACATTTCGGAGCCTAGTTGGGTTCTAGCTTGTGTGATTTCTCGGTCTTCCTTATATGATCGTATCATAGAGCGTGAGTATGCTGATCCCCATTTACTTATCCTAAGGACATGGTTCATCACGGTGATTCCAAGGAGATTACTATTGGGGATGATGGGCAGTTGCGGATGCAGAGTCGGATCTACGTACCCAATGTAGATGGGCTACGAGAGTTGATTCTTGAAGAGGCCCACAATTCTCAGTATTCCATTCATCCAGGTGTCGCGAAGATGTATCAGGACTTGATGCATCACTGTTGGTGGAGGAGGATGAAGAAAGATATAGTGGGGTTTGTAGCTCGGTGACTAACTACACAGTCCCACAGAAATAACGGAGTAACAGTTCACACGGTGCACGCCCACACGCCCGTCACCTAACATGTGCGTCACCTCAACACCAAACACATAATGCGTATAATCAGGGTTCATACCCTCAGCTCCAAGATTAGAAGAGTTACTTACCTCGAACAAGCCGAGTCCAATATCGAGCAAGCTAAACAATGCTCCAGAAATTCCATTCTGCACGTATAAACATCCGAACGGCTCGAATCTAGTCACAATTAATTTGATTCAGTCAACACAAATTATAGAAATTAATTCCATATCAAAATACTAATTTTCCCACAAAAATTCAAAATTACGCTCCAAAAATTGCCAGAGGGGCCCATTTCTCGGAAACCGACAAAAGTTACAAAATATGAACACCCATCCAATTATGAGTCCAACCATACTAAATTTATGAAATTCCGACATAAACTCGGCCTCCAAATCTCAAATCTAATTTTCAAATCCCTAGGCCTAATTTCTCAAATTATACCTCAAAGACACGTAATCTAGTCAGAATACTCAATGATCATTCAATATTATTCACTAACAATGATCACAAGTGATTTACTTCAAGTTCTCCCGTGAAATCTCTCTAAAAAATCGCCCCAAACTGTGTGTTTGAACTCCAAAATGACAAAAATATCGGATCCTTCTGTTTTTGTAGCCTGCCGAGTGCTCTCGCTTCTGCGGATCATTTAACTGCATATGTGGTTCCGCTTTTGCGAAGAATTTTCAACTTCTACATTCGATACCGAAGCCTATCAAATTAAGTCTGATTGACCTCAAATTTTGCACACAAGTCATAAACAACATAACGGACCTATTCAAATTTCCAGAATCAGATTCCAACCTCGATATCAAAAAGTCAACTCCCCAGTCAAATTTCAAGATAAAATTTTTATTTTAGCAATTTCAAGCCTAATTTAACTATGCACTTCCAAATAATTTTTTGGACATGCTATTAAGTCCAAAATTACCATATGGGGCTATTGAAATCATCAAAACTCTATTCCGGGGTCGTTTATATATAAGTCAATATTCGGTCAATCTTTTCAACTTAAGTTTTTATCTTGGACACTAAGTGTCTCACTGGACCCGAACCAATTACCTCGGCATGTCATACAACAACTGTGAAGTATAAATTGAGCAGTAAATGGGGGAAGAGGACTGTAATACTCAAAACGACCAGCCGGATCATTACAGTCCATCATCACATATTGAGGTACGCAGTTCACATAGCAGTTTTGGAGAGCAGTATAGTGAGAGTTAGGCATACGGGTTGAGTTGAGCACAGCATTCCACCCTCAGATAGACGGTCAGTCCGAGTGCGTTATTCAGATATTTGAGGATATACTACTCGCTTGTGTCATGGATTTCGGGGGTTCTTGGGATCAGTTTTTGCCGCTTGCAGAGTTTTCCTATAACAACAGCTACCAATCGAGTATTCAGATGGCTCCGTATAAGGCTTTTTATGGGAGATGGTGTCGGTCTCCGGTTGGTTGGTTCGAGCCAGGCGAGGCTAGGCTATTGAGTAGCGACTTGGTTTATGATGCTTTGGACAAGGTTACGTTGATTCAGGATCGGCTTCGCACGGCACAGTCTAGATAGAAGAGTTACGCCGATCGGAAGGTTCGTGATGTTGCTTACATGGTGGGGGAGAAGGTACTACTCAGAGTTTCACCCATGAATGGTGTTATGAGGTTCGGGAAGAAGGGCAAGTTGAGCCATCGGTATATTGAGCCTTTTGAGGTGCTTGAGAGGATTGGAGAGGTGCTTTTGAGCTTGCATTGCCGCCTAGTCTGTCGAGTGTTCACCCAATATTTCATGTTTCCATGCTCCGAAAGTATGTCGGCGATCCGTCTCATGTTTTGGACTTCAGCACGGTTTAGTTGGATGGTGATTTGACTTATGATGTGGAGCCGATGGCCATTTTGGATCGGCAGGTCCGAAAGTTGAGGTCAAAGAACATAGCTTCAGTGAAGGTGCAGTGGAGAGGTCAGCCAGTCGAGGTCCGGTCGGTTGAATTCATGCAGATGGGCGTGGGATATAGCACATGAAAATCTAAGTATTGGGCAGAATTCCAGTTTTATGACCCTAAAATACCAAAAATCGAGGAACGGACATGGCGAAGCAATGACTATTGTTTCTTAGGTCATTTTTTATAGGCAACATAATTTTAGGCTATTCATATCACTTTTTTATGGAGCTCTAGCGTGAAACTAGTGGACCCCGTTGTAAGGCATTTAAATTTTATTGATTTATATTCATAAAATTAGTTTTACTATATTTTAAATTGAAGGCATGTTTTTCAATTAAATATCGTTTACAAATACAATTAATTTAAATATTTAAATCCTAAGTAAGAATTTAATTTAAAGTGCTACTTCCCCTTTTTCAATTTCTTTGAACTTATTGACTAGAATGAATTTTAATATATTAAAAAGGCTTTTAAAATTTGTGGTCTAAAATAATTCATACGTAGATATTTCTGTGGATATAAATCACTTCATTATAAGGTAAAAGAAAGAATTTTAAAATTAAATTATTTCTAAGTTTACAAAAAAAATTTCTTTTGAATTGACTAAAAAGGAAATAGTTTCATTCTTTTTTAAATTGGGGTGTATTTAGTTGGATTGTAAATGATGAGCCAACTTTCTAGTTCGAAATGTCGTCTGTCAAACAGGCACATATTCGTGCCATGAGGACGTGATATATATGCCGAGTCAAATGAAACGATACACCTATTAAGTTTTATATGTTTTGCTTCTTTTAGTTATACTTGCAAATTTTCTTATTGTAGTAAGACAAATGACAAAAAAAAATTTAATTTTCGTTTTCCTCTTTTATTTTTTATATTCTTACTTTTTAGTGATCCAAGACAGAACCAACTAGTAGAAATCGGAGAATCTCTTATTATAATTTCAGAAAAAGGTAAATAGGATGGATCATATATAAGATCACATGCACTTACAACAAGCTCACTCTTATCATAGAGAGAGTGATTTTATTAGAAAATCTGAAAGACAAACACAACAAAGATGCAGAATAAAAAACATAAAGGCCACTAGGTAGAGATGTATCCAGTTAGGCTAATTAATTTGGACGAATGCCGAAGCCCATAACAATGATGCCAGATTTCCTTGTGCCGTTTTTTATTTCTATCAACCTCATTTCGACTTCACCATCCTCTCCTAAGTTGTTGAAAAACTCGCCAAGCTTGATTTCTAACCAGCCATCGCTTCGAAGATGCCTGCGTCCTTTGCCACCTCCTTCACAAATCTTAGCGATGCAATGGATCGTTCAAGTCCACAAGGGTTATCTGTTAACTTGAACACTAAATATACTGCATAACTAGTCGTTTGAATAACATTTTTTGTCTCTATCTTTCCATAAATGTCAAGCCAATTTACGCTACGAAGCTCCGCCACTTCAATACTGTACAAAATTTTGAGATGTAAGTAATTAAAATATATATTTCTCTTTTTAATGAAATTTAGAGAGAGATAGAGAGACAAACTTAGGATCAACAGTTTTCCATGTCCAGAACTGAGGATTGTTCACCCATGTAATTGTAAGGTCTCTTGCCGCTATCCACTGGCGTTGCTGATTGAATACAATATGTAAAATAATTAGGGTTCCTTAACACTTGATGAGTTGTTACATAATTTTCAAACATCAATTATGAAAGAGTAAGAATCAACGAGAAGAATATCGTACCATCTTTCTTGTATTGCTATGATATGATGCTCTTTATATCTTTTTAGTTGCCTCAACTCCCTTTTGCTTCGTCCTCGTATTTATAGAGCATTATTGGACTCCAAAATTTGTCACCATAGTACTACTACAGTAGGTGGGTTAACTTCGTCCTCATAACTTACCATTTTTTTTTACTTGAATGCTAAAAACGTGTCTATTGGAAAACCCTTCAGGTTGTCTTTTTAGGAACAGATAAGGTTATCTTTTTAGGACCATTTGGATATTCTTGAAAAAAATAGGGTTTGATTATAGGAGCAAGAGTGCAGAACCAATTATGTTGCATATATATTAGCTAGAGAAGTGGCTAAATAGGAGTGTTCTTACTTTAAACCTTTTGTGTATTTTGTAGCTCCACATTTGTTGGCTTCAAATTATAACTAGTTTGGATACTTGTAATAGCAAACAATTAAGTGCTTCTACTACCACCTTTCTAACAGAAGAAATAGAGTTAAAAGATGTCATCAATCAAAAATAAAATGCTCTATTAGAGTTAATTCGACAAGGTGGGTTGCTCTGATGGTAAGCGCCCTCCACTTCCAACCAAGAGGTTGTGAGTTCGAGTCACCCCAAGAGTAAGGTGGGAGATCTTGGAGGGAAGGATGCCGAGGGTCTATTGGAAACAGCGTCTCTACCCCAGGGTAGGGGTAAGGTCTGCGTACACACTACCCTCCCCAGACCCCACTAGTTGGATTATACTGGGTTGTTGTTGTTGTTGTTATTGTTATTAGAGTTAATTCCTATGATGATGATTCAAGTTATGAAAATTATTCAGTAAAGTCACTATTGTATTTTTTGGGACAAAAGGTTCATCTGAATATACCTATATCTCTTATAAAATAAAACCAATTTAGTTGGCACCCGTTTGACCCATTTTAAGACCCATATTATAATTACCAGAACTAGATCAAACAAAATGGGTATTGTTTAAAAGATTAATTCCTAAGCCAGCTTTTTTTCAACGATCCCTAACCCCTCACATCCCCATATATATAACAAGAAGCTAAACTTTGAGATATAGTAGGGGTATATCTATAGGAAATTAGTAGCTACACTGTTGATTTGGTCCTTGATTCTTAGATGTGGTGATTTCGTATGTGTCTGGATGCCTTGGATAGGTTCAGCTTGTGTTTATCAATTTGTTGGTACGATTGAATGGGGTCCCGTGTGAGTTTCGAACCACCCGAAGCATGTTTGAGATGGATGATATTGATGGTCTGGTGTGCTTCGCGATCGCGGAGCTTGGCTCGTGTTCGCGAAGAAGGGAATGTGGCCCGGGGGTTTGGCCTTCGCGTTCGCGAATGGGGGACTCGCATTCATAGAAGGGGCTGGGTCCTTAGCCTTCTCGTTCGCGAAGCAGCTGGTCGCGTTTGCGGAGGAGTTGGTTGCGTTCGCGATGAAGATGAGGCAGATGGCATTCGCGGTCGCGTGACTCCTATCGGTTTCGATAAAGGATTTCGGGCGATGGCAGATTCGTGCTTCACGAATGCGTGGGTTGGGCCGCGTTCTCGAAGGGTATCATTGGCAGGATTATTTTGAATCGTATTTTCGGGATTTAGCTAATGTTTTTCAATATTTTGAATTTAGGAGAACGAGAGGAGGAGATTTTTAAGATGGATTTTACTACAATCACTTGGATTTGATGCATACACTTTGAATCCAAAGTGCAAAAATGCAAAAATGTTAATGCATCAAGAGATCGAATTCACGAGTAACCTAGATTCAGTACACATATATAAGTTAATTAAATAATCTTCTCGGTATGTGAATTTCATTGGTCACTCATCCCTCGTCGGACCAAAGCAAAGAGAAGCTTTAACAGAGTTGATTTCTCCGAAGGTCACTGAACTAATGGAAATTAGTTAGAAAAATCACTTTATTTTGTTTTGTAATTGATGAGTCACTCAATTTATCCGTTGTAGCTGAAAAGTTACCCAACAACTTAAATAATTAAAAAAACACCTATTAAAACCATTTACTGATACTACTAGAAATTTGACAAAAATCGGTTGCGGTCTACCGACCAATTTTGGTCTGTCAAAAAATCGGCCAAAAAATCGGACAAAGTCGGTCGGTTTTTCAAAATATTTTATTTTTAAATTTTTCTTTTACGAAACCGACCAACTTTGGTCGGTTTTCTTTGGCGCAAAAATGCGAGAAACTATTTTTGAGTCCTGCGAAATTATTTTTCAAGAAACTGACCAGGTCGGTTTTTTATTTAAAATAAATTAAAATTCGGTCGATCATTTTAAAAAACCGACCGAATTTGGTCGGTAATTTTATTTTTTAATAAAACCGACCGACATTGGTCGGTTATTTTCGTACGAAAATACAATTAAAGAATATAAATGAATAAAAATACAGTCTTAAAATAAAATGCACCAATGGTCTAGTGGTAGAATAGTATCCTACCACAGTACAGACCCTGGTTCGATTCCCAGATGGTGAATTTTTTAATTACATAATTAAAATACCGACAGACTTTGGTCGGAAAAAACCGACCACTCAGCAATTATTTTTTGAATTTAATTGACCGACCAAAGTTAGTCAGTAATTTCCGACCAACTTTGGTCGGTATACCCTTCCGACCTTCAAAATACTGACCACACGTTAATGGTCGCGTTTTGGACGGTTATTGGCCATTACCGACCTACTTTGGTCAGTTGTTTTGGACGATTTTTGCCGAATTTCTAGTAGTGCGATTTGCTCCATGATCCGACCTGCTAGACTATTTTCTCTTTTTTTAAATGGAATTGTTTGATGTGTTGCTTTATTGGATTGTTTGGTTTGTTGCTTGATCGAATTGCAGTCAATTCTTCAAAAGTAATAAGAAAAAAACGCACTAGATCATGTTCCACAAGAATTTGTCGAATAAGCAGAGCTACTCCAAAATTTTGTCACAATTGAGTGATAACATAAATGTTGTTTTTAAAGGCAAAAGTCACTAGTATTGGAAAAAACGTGCCTATTGACAATCCATTATTGGAAGCAGCAAATTAGGTTTGTACATTTTAGGACCATTTGGACCATTCATGAAGAAAACATCGCTGATATTCTTCTTTCACGAGTCACGAGAGCAGTAGAGCTTAGTTAAATTTCAAATTTGTGTTTGTGTTATACGGAATTGAACACGTTCGGTTCCGATTAAATTTTTGGTTTAATATTACCTTGTTGTTAGAAAAAAACACAGAATACTTTTAAATCAGTACAAAAAGTGATGGGTAAATTTAGACCCTTTTTTCTTGGAGAATTAGATACTCATTTCATATTGGAGCGTAGTTCATGCTAAAGGCTATACAATGGCAATCTGCTAACGGTGACAACAAATGGTCCTAAGCACAATAATTTTATTTCGTACATCAAATAATGTTCATCAATAGACACGTTTTTTCCATTAAAGTAAAAGAGCATTTACTCTTGTTATACTAACTAGGTTAAGTTGGATTCAGCTTAAATGGATAAACTAACATAATATAAGTTAATAATGATTCGGTTTTATTTTCTGCAAATTTTAGGGATACTGCTCTTGCCTAGTTTAAACTAACAAAATATAAGTTGTATTGCAATGACTGATTATGCCATTTGGCAATAGACTACGTTGTACATTTGGGACCAGTTGGACTACTCGTCTTTTATGAGTCACTAATTTTTATTTTTTTGGTTGAACACATGAAATTTATTTTTTTGTTATTTGAAATTGAATAATTTTATCTTTGATCAAACTTATAGTCTATTTATTACCTCATCATTAGAAAATATTTTATTTTATTATTGACTCCTAATGAAAAGTGGGGTAAATTTGGATTTTTTTTAAAGAATGTGAACTACTCATTTGTCACTACCCTAATCTCGCATGTCGTGATGGTGCTTATCGCAAAACTAAACAAGTCGACAATCACAATAAACTACGCATCTTTAAGTTTGAAAACATAATAAAATAAGCTCAAGAGTAAAATCTCATAAATACTGATAAGAAAATATCGCAGCTCAATACAATAACCTCCAAAATCCAGATGTCACTGAGTACTTGAGCATTTAAATGACAACATAGTATGATTGCCAAAAGCACTGTCTAGAAAGACAGAACAGTAAAATTAAATAAAAAGAAGTAGAGTCAAGGTCTGCGAACGCCAAGGCAGCTACCTCGATAGTATCCAACAGATAAAGCTCCAAAAGCTACCAGTCGCCATACCTGGAAGTACCTGGATCTGCACATAAAGTGCAGAGTATAGTATGAGTACAACCGACCCAATATACTTAATAAGTAACAAGACTAACCTTGGGCTGAAAGCAGTGACGAGCTCAACAGGTATAGTCCAAATATAGAATTTAACAGTACAGAAATGTAGACATGCTTTCAAGGTCAACAGTTTAAGCTCAAAACAGATAAAAATATGCCAAGTGTGACTGAAATGAGGAATGATACATCACCATATTTACGTGTCAGTTATGCATGCCAGCTGTAATGCAACACAGTGATAAAATCATATGCATACTCTCGGAGTATAAATTCACCCAGTCCTCTCATTCACTCAATCATCATAGTCACTCAGTCTTCACAGTAACTCAGTCATCCCAATCACTCGGCACTCGGCGCTCGCACTCGCACTCAGTAGGTACCTGCGCTCACTACTGGTAAGTCAGACTCCGGAGGGGCGGATCCCGCCCAAGTGCTAAAATAAGTCAATCATGGCATGAATCAATAACGCCTGCTGCGGCGTGCAACCCGATCCCAAAAACATCCTCACAATCTGGCCCTTTGCTCACTCAGTCATCAATCTCTCCAGTCTCTCGGGCTCACGAATATCATGACAATCATCCCAAACAATGATGATATGATGTATTAATATATGGCAACAGAGACTGAGATATGATATGTGAATGATAGGTGTGACTGAGTACAAAATTATAAATTAAGCAAGTAATTCAACATCAACACGACCTATGTGGGTCTCAACAGTACCAGCATATAGTCTAAGCATGATTTCTAACAAGAATCACAGCTCAATT